TGCAGCCTGAAGGAAATCAGCAAGGGGGGCATGTTTAAAGATGCATACTTGTCATTGCATCTATTACAATGACGCATCTTGACCTTTGCAAAGAACATACATCTGTTGAAAGTTGGTTTACTGTAGCAGAAGAAATGAAGAAATACAATACCTTCACTCTCACTTTAAAATGCGGCTTTCCAATTTCTTCCAGGCTGACCGGCTATTTAGCAAAATGACAACTATTTGTCTTTCAGTCTCTTAGTTTCAATCTATTTTATTTCATTTTCGAAACATAAAAAAAGAACCGTTGTTCACTTTATCAAAAAAAAATACAATGACACGAACTTAACGGTGATTTCTCACACTGTCCTTACCAGCAAACGAAAGGGACAAACTAGCTTAATGCTAGCTAGGCGGATTAGGCGAGTACAACAGATTTCAATGGGACCAAAGCGACTCGGGCAATCTGAGAGGCAATAAATGTCAGAAATACGATTTTCTTTGCTTTTACTGTACACGTCAACATTTGCTTGCAGTCACATCCTTATGTATGCCAATCAAATTACTGTGATGGTTCTAAAAAAGCAGACCTGACTTACTTCTGACCCAATGAAATGCAAAAGGCTACACCTCTGTGTCATGCAACTAACCAATAACAAGAATGTCAACCCTTCTCATTCATCACACTGGCGTGTTTGTTTCCCCTCCATTTGGTGTTACGTAAAGAAATACAGTAGCTCGCAGATGAGGGCCAAACGTATTTGAAAACAAAATGTCCAGAGTTATTCCAACACGATTAGATAGCTAGCGTAGGCGCCAGTGAGCTTCAAGCAAGAAAGAGTTGCATGAAGAAGTAGGAGATTGGCGGAATACAGTAGACACGTAGAAGGGAATCAAACCACTCCTCTTTCGGCATCCATCCTCCTCCTCACTTTCATCTCTGCCTCCGTTGCTTTTTCTCCTCCTCTGTCTCTGTCACTGTATTTTCCTTCATGGCTTTATTGCCCTTTTCTCTTCTTTCTTTATTTCTCACCTCCCTCCAGATCCATCCCTCTCTATCCTCAACCCATCCATCTTTCTCTCTTCGCCGCCTCATGTCTTTCAATCCCCAGCCCTCGCTCTTTTCTAAACTCCCTCCACGCTTCCGTTTCTTTTTTTTTTGCCAGTCATCCTCTCTTCATCATCCATTCATCCCGTGTTTTTCTCAGCCTTTCTACCCAATCACCCTCTGTCTCTCCGTCGTGCCGCTCCTATTGTAGCTGTAGAAGACTATGTGATCAGAGCCGAGGACATGTCCTTTCTCTCGACACGCTTCAACGCTCAGCACGATTACACAAACCCCCCTGCCCCCCCCCTCTCTCTCTCTCTCTCTCTCTCTCTCTCTCTCTCTCTCTCTCTCTCCCTCTCTCGCTCTCTCTCTCTCGCTCTCTCTCTCTCTCTCTCTCTCTCTCTCTCTCTCTCTCACACACAGACACACAGACACACACAGACACACAGACACACCGGAGCCAGCCGAACTTCTAAATATCAAGGTGATTGACATGGTCTAAAAATGTACGCCCCTGGGGCATTTTTTTGCGAGCAGTGCATTGAGGTCATGCAGATCTAACCTTGGCCACATCAGCTATAGGTGAACACACATGGAGCCGTACACACCGACACACGTGCTTGGATATGGAGGAGAGGGAGGATTACTTTCTCCCTAGTTTAATCCCTAGGAGCAGCTCCAGGCCAACACATAGCTTTTGATGTTCCAGAGCTAGAAGCAATGGCTGACACACACACACACACACACACACGCATACAGTAATGAGTGTTTTGCAGTGTTGCAGCCGTGGGACACTTGTCTGGATGAGGCAAGTTTAATGGAGAGGAAGGACAAAAGTGTACATCATAATGTTATGGTTTGTCTGTGTGTGTGTATTAAACATGCTGTCAATGGTGTGGAATAGTAGGAGCGGTTCATTTGATGTAGTGCACTTTCGACACGTGATGACGCATGTTTAGTAGTCGCAAGGGGTTGTGCAAAGTACAGTCAATCTGTCGGAAGCAAAAGCGATCGCTGAATATTGGCCAACTTATTTGATTAAAACTGTCTTCTTGTTCGGAATGTCCACCTTTGGTAAGTGAAGGAAAACCAGTAAAGGTGGGGCAAAAAAAAAAAAAATCAGGATTTGTAATAATTTTTTTTTTTTTGAGCCCATACAAATAAAACCGTCTTTCCCAAACGCTCACTCATGACAATATATCACGGTTATTGGAATTGCTAAAAAGGCCGCTTAGCTTCCAAGCTCTTATCACAAATCACCCAGCGAGCATATATCAAAGTTGCACAAATATCGACACCGAGCCAGACCTTTTACGGAAGGGAGGAAATCTATGAGTGCTTTTCCAGACTGACTTTTTACTGTTATTTAAACGACAGAGGGTCTATCAATAAACCAACAGGATCAACGGCCAAGCAGAAATTGATCTAGGCCAAGCGCATCTAATCACAGCTGGCCGGGAGACTGACACAAAAGTGACTGACTGGGGAGCTGCTTTGGCTAAAGGCTGTAAAGCTCTTGCACTTTAGCCCATTCTCAAATTAAAATGCATTTGCCAGG